ATACAGAAAGGCAGCATAGTGGGACGTTGCATCGCAGACAGGTATCTCATATTGTAAGAATGAATGTCATTGCTAAAGCAGGAAACCCAGTTAAAACAATTCAACAAGTCTCCATTAACTGCAGCCACAGCTGCACCATATCCATCACATCGGGGCTCTCATCACCCTATTTCCCTGAAAAAACACGCTGTGTCTTGGCCCGCTACGCTGTCTTTCAAGCTGCGTGTTTGGAAAATTTGACATATTTTACAGTAAAACGTGCAAATTTTCCTAAGAAACTAGTTTCTCTACCGTCGTCTTTGCTGCTAACGCTGCTATTCGTAAGACACTAACGTCTTCGCTAACGTGGGGGAGTGTCGCTAAGGTTTCAACCTATGAATAACCTATGATTATTTGAACACAAAATCCATCCTCCTTTCTTCTATCATAGAGAGTTCAGTCACTCTGTTGAGCGGGTAAAATTATCACTTGCTTAACTTAAAATAATTATTTTTTTTAAAGTAACACTTTTACGATACAGTTTTAGCTTGTGCAGGTCGCTACAGACAGGAACCGCTAGCTTTGGCTAAGCTCTCTGACCATCCAATCAGAGGACGTGATGGTGCTGACGTTATCATAGACCAGCTAGCAGGCCCTGGGACCACTAACTCTCAATCTGATTGGTTAAAGCAACAGTTTCGTTACAATGCATTTTAAGCTGCACTTTTGATTCTAAAGGCCTCAGGACAGATTCCTGTGACCCTGGCAACACATGATGGCTGAAATATGATTGGATAAAAAAAAAAAAAGCTCTAATATAAACATCCACTGCTAGAAGCACCCCAGCCCAGAGACGCGCTATTAAATGAAGAGAATAGACTATTGGGAATAAAGTTAAAAGATTAGTAGGAAAATTTTGCAAAGTAAGTCAATGATTCTGATAGAGTTTAGGCCAGCAGAGAAGGCCTTGCTGGCCCTGACAGCACACCACTGGTATTTACCAAAAATAAATAAATAAAATAAATAAATAAGAATAATGATTTAAAAATTATGTTTGTTTTTAATAATTTGATTGATTGAATATCTTTGAGTTTGAGTTCCTTAAAAAAAAAAAAAAAGTGAGGCTGACGCTGTCTCATCCAGTGAGCGAACTACAATGAGTCTTTTGGGAGCACATTTTTAAAAACTTTTTCATTGTTAAAAGTTACAGATCAGTTTATTAATCATTATTTCTCTTACTAAAAATACGAGGGAAGAAGGAGAGTAAACTGATGAAACATAGCTTTTTTTCCCTGATGTTTGTTCAAGTGAGCAAAGTTTATGAAATTGCATTGTCATGCTCCGTTGGTGATGGCAAGAACAGCAGGCATGCTGGTATCTTTATTAAAATGAATTAGTAATGAATCACCCTCATGCATGAAACATACATCAATAATAGACTAATTTTACGCATGATCCATGATAATGAAGATACAGGACATTAGAAATTCATGGTAAAAATAGCCTTTTGTCAATATTTTAGAGACCCTGCAAAATTCCACAAATCATGTTTGCAGGGGAGCTCGTGTCTTATTAAGTTCACACCCTGGTCTCATCTGTGATGTGAGCAGTTCTTAGATAATTCCATTGTACCACGATTCAAATGATGCAGTGCTTGTTTTATCAATTACTCATGACACATTACTAATTGACAAAATGCTAAGGTATTTACTGCCTGACAACGAGCATCGTCCCAATACTGCGAACAGCACTTGAAGTAAAGCCAAGTGGATTGCAATTACTCAAGCTCTATTGTCAAACTACTGTCTGCTCAACATAGAGGAATCAAACTTCACCCTTCATCAAACTCAGTTAATCTTATTTCAAAAATGAGGAGACAACAGCTGAAACTACTGGACAACTGGTTACTAGGAATAAAAACTGTAACGTAATGACTGGATTTTAAATTATAATTCCTTAAAGCCAATTTATGAGAAATTCAGACTTTGAAAGTAGACATCAGATGCATGCAAGATTTAATTCATACTATAATATACTGCATCAGTTGGTCACATGTCATCTCAAATGCAGAAAAACACAAAATAGCTTCTGTGTATGTTTCTAAAAGGCTTCCTGTGACTTTGAACTTTTTACGTGATACAGCCTCATGGCAATTTGTGAAATAGTCACGAAACTCAATCTATTGATTCGTGTCCAGGGACACGGATTGCCCAATTTTTGCCCACCACGAATTCCAAATCATTTCAATTGGACTTATTTTTCGTGTCTGGGCCATGTTTCTTTCCCGATGAGACAGCGCATATGCTGTGATGTTTTTGTTTGGATTGAATTTACAAATAAAATTTTATATATATATATATATATATATATATATATATATATATATATATATATATATATGTGTGTGTGTGTGTGAAATTAAATTTGTACCACATTTTGTGATGCCCCCTGTTGGTCCCATGATTCTCGCCCCATTCATTGTTGAATTAGAAGCTTTAAAGATGCACCAAAGTCAAAGTCCAAAGGTCAATATCTCTGAGCAGGAACAACTTTGAACTTCCAGACTTACTCCCCTGATCAAGTCCTTTCCAGTGATGTATCATGTGTAGGCCTGTGACAAGTTCCATGACTATTTCACGAATTGCCGTGAGACTGGGTTGGATACAGCAGTTAGTTACAGATTGGGCTGTAGCACCATGTCAGTGATTATTATTGAGGTGTGCCAAGAACAGTGGGCAGACGTAGCACAGGATTTCTGAAGAAATTTGGAACTTCTTCATTGTGTTTAGACAATATTGATGGAAAGCTTGTACAAATCAAAGCACTTTTAAAGTCCAACAGAGATTACAACTCTTTTGGTCAAGAATTATAAAGGTGTGAATGGCTGAGGACCTCCATGTCCACGTACAGTCTCTCCTCAAGCATTTACTTTAAGCAACACGTGCAGTCGACAAACTTGCATGTTGAACTATCTACACAGTCACAAACCAAAATAGTTCTGTATCACATCTCCAGACATTTCCAGCATCAAAAACACAGCCACTGCAGCACAAAGTGAGCTAACAAGCAAATTAGTGCTGACTGTAACTGCATGTTCCCAGCTTTGAGAAGCAGACTGGAACTTATTACGTGTTTACTATTACCAGCAATAGCAGCTGAACATTAAGAGACAAAACGGGAAAAGAACGAATATAGCAAACCTAGCAACATCAGCACTCAGTTGTCTGTAATATGCAGCCGCGGGAAACATTCATCCAGTGGCAGGAACCTCAGAGCACATTTATGTGTGTCTACTTGTCTACTCTCATGTTTTTTCTGTATTCCTGTGATACATGTTACATTAGCATTCTTCTAGCGTGTTTGTTGGTCTACTCTGGTTTCTGTGTCTCAAGGCAGTGATTCAACACATCCCTGCTTTTTTTTTTTTTGCACAAGTGTCATGTATTGTGCATAAGCTGTATGGTTTCTCACTACATTGGTGTGTGCATGTGTGCATTCTTGTGTCCTCTTTCAATCCTGGACAAGAGCACAGGCAGGAAAATGAACTAGAGAATGAAGGAACATTTGGATGAGAAATGAGCTGTCTACAGCACACCAATGAGACGTGTGCGTGAGAGAGTGTGTTTGCATACACATAACGGTGCAACTACACATCTTTGTGTGAGTTTGTAGGATCCACGAGGCTAAAACTCAGAATATCTTGGGAAGCAGTTGACGTGTGAATAACATAAACCAATGAAAAACTCACTTATTAGGAGCAGAAGAATTCCCCTGGAGAAATACCTTGTGTCTCTAATGTGTGTGTATGTTGTAAGGGAGGCTGTGTGTGCAATTTGTAAATTTCATAATTGCTGGATTGAGAGGGGGGATTTTTTATTTTGCTGAAAGAATACACAGATTTCTCATCAGAATAACATACATCTCCCTAATAAGGAGGGGCAAGATAAGATGAGCCTTTATTGGTCCCACAGTGAGGACATTCGCAGTGTTACAACAGCAAGCACAATACAAACATTTAAGAAATGTAGTACAAAAATAAAAAAGAAACCAAAATATACATAATTACTAGTTCTAAAAATAACCTTATTGCACATGTTAATGGTATTGCATGGATTTTTGATGAATAGAAATACTGATAGAGTATTAATATTGCACAGATTGTACCTAAGTAGAAAATTAACAACATAGTTTATAAGGAAAAAAAAACAAAAAAATAATCATAAATACAAGAGAAAATGATTTAGAATATTGTATGGAGTTACGAAGTTAAAATTCACACTTTGAAAGTTTGTTAGAAAAGAGATGGCACCAATAGCAAACTCTTTTTTCTATATTTTACGTGTTGATTCTGCTTCTTGATGGTGTATTTTTCTTAGCCACCTGGATAACTGGTGTATGCAAACAGCATTGTTAAAAATGTAGTCTATCATAGAATTTTAAAAAATAAAATTTGTTTGTTAATTTGCTGAAGATAAATGGATACCATTTACAACAGAGACTACATGGTATGGAGGGTGCTTGAAAAAGTAGCCAGACACGGAAAAAAGAAGAATAAGACAGAGAGAAAAAAAGTATTTGTAAACTTAAGGATGAAACTCTGCTTAGAAAAGGAAGTGAGAGGAAAAATTCTAACAGGAAGCAATGGAACAAACGAGTACTTGAACGTGTGAAAAAACAAAGTGGGAAGTTTCCTAGTGATGTAGTGAGTTTTCCCTGTGGTTTTGTCACTAATGAGAACATCTGCATGAGTGAAACATACGGAGTGAGAGCGAAATAGCCGAAGGGGAGCACTGTCTGAGAGGAGAAAACAACTAGAGACACGGAGTGCAGACATACTGCAAAAATAGACTACTTGAAAGAATAGTTTAAAAAAGAAAAAATCAGTAAGTGACTAGGATTTGAATAGTAATTTTATAGTAGTCGCCAAAATTTTACAAAATGGCACAAAAATATCTTTCATCTATTTATTGCATGCAGTAATTTATGTAATTTTTCACTCTTGATTTCCTCTTGTTCCCAAGGTGCCAATGCCCAGCTCAGTTCGAGGGGCCTGAATGCCAGCAGAACAAGCACAGTTTCCATGGCAACGGCTATGCCTGGTTTCCACCCATGATGCCTTGTTTCGAAAGCCATGTGTCTCTGGAGTTCATCACGGATGTGGCTGATGGACTGCTGATGTACAGTGGCCCCTTGGCCCAGCTGCAGGCCTGGGACCACGAAGACTTCATGGCCATAGGTAGGAAGCATCTCAACATTAATAATATCAAATTAAATGTCCCATCTGGCTGCAATTCAAAATACTTTAACTGAGATGGGAAAGAGATTCGTTTTCATTAATTTATTGATTCGAGAGCAGCAAGTGAATGTCCTTAGAACATAACATTAGTATTAGACCAGGACCTTTGTATGATGGCAAAAAAAAGAGACAGAAGAGGGAATAACATTGTTTCCTTCAACTGTATCCTCACAGTCTTTTGGAACTGCAGTAATATTAACAGTGCATAAATCACTACTTTTAGGACTTTGCCATTATTTCAGACTCCCCGGGTTCCATTTCAACAATACTTGAAGGAATAATGTGACTTTATGCTATGAAGGCACTGACATATAAGAGGAATTTATGACTATTATTAGGTGAGGAAGAAAATGGAGGGATTTAGTATGAGAGGATAAAGAAGAATTGAAACAGGTATCATCTCTATTGTAGCTTCACTCTAAACAGAGTGAAATCCAGACAAAGTGTGGGAGTGATTCCCAACCAGAGGTACCTGTACCCCAGGACGTATATATATTCACATGCCAGAGGTACATGAGAAATGAGGAGTAGCTCAGACAAAAAGAAAAAAAATAAAGAAATATAAATTATTAAAATCTCAAGAACAGAATAAAAATTAAAGTAGAAGTGCATTTTTTGTGATTGACTGTCAAAACTTTAAAGTCAGCAAGATCGACAGGATGCTAATAGATAACAAGTTTAAAAATCAAAGTCAAAGTTAATGAACAGTCTGAATACCCAGCAAAGTTAGCTTGTGGGGGAAATAAGTGGCTAAAAATACTGGAAGGAACATTGAAATATCAAACCTAGGATTTAGGAGGAGCAATGTAGATTCTGTCCTGGTCATAGAACAGTGCTGTGTTTGGTGGACTTGGAGAAGGCCTACAACTGTGTCCCCCTGAGAGGGCGACTACAGGAGCACGGGGCACCTGGAATGTTGCAATGAGCCATCCAGTCTTTATACAATCAAAATGAGACAGCTGTGTTTGTATTCTCAGCATTAAGTCAAACCCGTTTTTGGTGGATGTGGGACTAAGGTTGCTCATTGTCTCCGATCTTATTTGTCATGTCATGGACTCAAGTCCCAGCAGGAGTACAAAGGGTGTCAGGTTGGAGAACTTCAGAGCTGCTTCTCTGCTTTTTACACAATATGTGGCTTTGTTTGCTTGGATTTTAGCACACTTTGAGGCACTTTGCAGCAAAGTGTGAAGTGACTGGGATGAGAGTATGCATCTCCATGTCTGAGGGCATGATTCCCTGCTGAAAACCAGTGGAGTACTCTTTCTAGGTAGGGGTTGAGTTGCTGCCCCAAAAGGTGGCGTTTAAGTGACCAGGGATCTTATTCATAAGTGACAGGAAAATGTTCGTTAAAGACCAGAGCGATGGTTGTTTGTTCCTCCTCTCCGTTGTGGTGGTGATTTACCTTGTAGAATGTTTTATGTGAATTATAACCAGGTTGATGTCACAGCATTGCACCTTTGTGGGGTTTAACACTAAAATGTTTCTTGATTGAACCACTACACATGATGTACATTGGGAATACACAGGACAAATGGACAACATAGCTTAAACACCAAATTTAAATCAATGTCAGGTTTTGTTGTGCCCTTGTCTAGTGGAATAGACCAAAGTCAGAACAGTGTTTTATCAATAAAATAGGACAGTTTATTATCTACCACAAGCAGGAAAGCGACAATAACTGGAAGCAATATCACTTTGGGGTGAACCAAGGCCAAAATAATAAACCAAAGAGATCTGTCTCCTCAGAAATGTGCTGACTAACCCTAAATCAAACCAAAATACAAAACAAAAGATATTCACTAAGCTTTACTCCCTAAGATAAACAGAACAGGAGGGAATTCGCAGGCGTTTTAAATGGCACAGAGAGCGGACATTTCCCAAGTCAGGCCCACACATCCAGTCAGTCAGGAGGAGACCAACTGATGAACATTCAAAGATTCCTACATGAACAGAACATGCACTCACTCGAAAATAATAACACAAAACACTAGACAAAGGAAAGTAGACACAGAACATTACTATTATGGCCCTGGCCATATTAGCCTATTGGCCTATATTAACTTCCTGTGTCCTAAAGCAGTCATAGTCATAGATGCGCACACACACGCACCCACACACACATTCCTGCTACTCACTGTGATATACACTGGGAGTTGAGTTAGCGAGATCTGAAAATAGCTGTAGACTGAGCTTCATCAGGGTTCACTCTGTAGCCCTTTTGGGGAAATGATAGTCCTTTTTTTGTTGCTCTTTGAATATTATTGAACTATGCAGACAATAAAGCTTGTTGAACTGAGCGTGGTAGGTGGGGATTATAGACAGATGGTAACAGAGAACTAAATATCTTGTACATCTTGGTATATTTAGTGTTTTAATTTGAGAGACTAACACCTCCTTGTCTCCCTTGCTACTTGCATTGGTCCTCTCTCTTGAGAGAGATGTTGTTGTTCTATCACTGCCAAAGTAATATGTGTAGGAGGTAAGGTCTGCCTGGAGAGCCGGATGAGTTGTGTATGTGTGTTTGTGTGCGTGTTAAGAGCAGGTTTTCAGTGTTAATCCTGAATTATTTCTATAACTTTTGTTCATGTCAGAGGGTCTGTTTGCATCTGAAAGCCAGTCAGTGTGCATGACAGGGTCTTAAAGACTTAAGATTAGGTTAGTTGAGATGTTAGCAGAGTCACTGCGCAGTGTATAATTAGAGTCAGACTGTACATATTTAGAGCTCTAATTAACTTGTTTCATGGTTGACCTGCTGCATGTAACAAATCCATCGGCAAGCTTAGGCTGTGCTGGAGCTTATTACTTCATTACAGTATGTAAGTCAGTCAGTGTACCAAACAGCATTGTGATGCAGATGGAAGCTGCTGATACGTGATCCTTCTTCACAATAATCTCCTTGCTGAATTTTGCATAAGCACTGATAATATCATATTCGAACTGGGGTCTCAATTTTAGAGGTTTGGGCCTCTTTTCTATTGGTCTTGATGAAATTTGCTGCAAATTGGAAACATTGCAACAGCACTACAGTGAACTCCAGCAGGCATGGCTGGGTTGACCTGGGAGGCCCTGAAGCAAAAATGATCTGTTGCTCCACTATTGACTCCCACACATGCTACTCTGCATATATTGTTCATATAGTTACTTCCAAGTTTTCATCAAATAGAGAGCATGCACAAACAATCCATGGCAACCTTCTTATTTGCGCTGAGAACAGAGACTAATTAGTGGTCAGTTTTATTTAGATAGCACCAGTTCACTACTGAGATTATCTCAGCGCATTTCCCGTAATAATGTGAGTCAAAGTCAAGCTCTAATTTATTTTTTCAAATAATGTTGAAACAACAAGAGTTGAACCAAGGTGCTAAGCAATTACGGTAGAAGGTCATAAAACACAACGAAACACAATGACTAAAAAACACTAGTGAGTTAAACAATAGAAATAAAAAGCTGCAACATAGTAAACAATGAAGGCAGGGTATCAGGCTCTACCTGAGTATAATGCCAAAGAAAAAAGATGGGCCCCTAGCAGCAGCTTAAAAGTTTCTAAAGTCTGAGCAGGTCTTCCATGAAAAGGTGAACTGTTTCAGAGATTAGGAGGAGCCACTTTAAAACCTAATCACCTCTGTCTTTGTGTCAGGATCTTTCATGAGCGTCTAGTTTGTTGCCCTCAGCACTCTAAGTGGGGCCGACCCATCAATCCTGAAACTAACAAGTTCAAGACTTTACAGCATTATATTCTAGAATCTAGATGGAAGCCCATTAATTTGTTGAACAATCTTTAGCAACAACAATAGGAAGAATCCTCTGGCAGAAGGCTGGCTCAGGGAGCATGGCCATCTGCATCAACCAGTTGGGATGAGATGTGGGCTGATGTCAAAGCAAACCAAACAGACAACAAGCAAGACACAGTAATCACTGGGGAGTTATTTGCCCTGTGCTAATTTTAAGTCACAGACACATGATGCAGGTCACAAAGGCATCTATTCCATATGCCACTGGAATACTGGAACACGTAACTGAACTTAACACAGGTGCACTGGTTGGATGTGATGACGCGTCACAGACGACTTTGCCATGGTGCTCATTTACCAGCTAAACGCTCAAACGATGCTCTATGTTTGCCAAAATGGAGTAACCTCTTCTGGTTGCTACAGTGTTAAACTCTAAGAAAGAGGCTACTGCCATCAGGGAATACTGTTGCTGTTCCCTTTGACTTGGCATATGTAGTCTGCACTAGTGTTTGGATACGTGGTACATGCCAAAGGAATATCCACATAACAGCTAAGACTCAAGGCTTCCTACTCTTTTTTTACACTTTTTGGCTGATGAATGTAAAAAAAAAAGACATGGTTAAAGATTCAAAACAATATCCTGAGTCACGGCCTCTCTTCAAGACAGATCCATAACATCAACTAATATTGCATTACCAATCTCCTACCCCACATTATATTTTAGTCGAGTAGATTTTAAAGCACGTCTTCAATTAACCACATTTCAATACTGAGTTTTTGGCAGTAAAGCTGGGATTTTCATCCCCACTGGCGATCTTGAACTCTGTGGCTAAATACTCAGTGGACAAAACACAAGTGATCAGACAGCTTGTAAGCACAGCAAGTGCGAGACTGATAAGGTAAACACTTTATTTTAAAGGTAAAACCTAAAGTTAGCACACCTACATCACCCCAAAGTTACCTTAATTATAATGTCTGTGTAAACTATGTTAGATGTAACAAATTTATGACAAAAACACTACAAGCCACTTTTGTTGTCTCTTTTAGATAAGCTTGAGGGGTGTTGTTTACAGCCGAATCCTGATACTAAAAGATGAATTTCCAGTGTTAATAAACAAGTATTTGTCCTTGAGCTGTCATGAAATAAACATTTCCAGAACAAAAACAGCTTCCTGCACTACTAATGATAATACTTTATGGTTAATGGTT